CGGTCTGTTTCTTCAAAATTTGTTAAATCTGAGAGGCGTTAAACGAGGTTTTAATTTCAAGCCGCCTAATTATTAAAAATAAAACTAGATCAAGCTAATATGTAGTTTATTGATAAAAATTGCACATTAGAAAGTAAATTTAAAGTATAGACCTAATAATACATAAGCTATATATCAAACCTAATTCCTAATTAAAAATTAATTGATGTTTTATTCGTCTAAATAATGAAATACATGCATTTAAATAATATCACAAATTTAAATATTATTTTAATAAAATAATAATGTAAAAATAAAGCAAAAGATGCAAATTCGATAATCTATTTTAAATTGGGAATTGTAGAAAGGGATTTTTCATGAATTTGAAGTACTTCATAATCCTCCATAAGAAAAGATGATCTACCATTATTATCAACATGTTTATTTCTAATTGGTTTTTCATAAGATAGATGTCTACAGTAACATCTATTCTTACCTAAACTGTTTAATATGGTAAGATCGTGACCACCACCAAAGCATGGACCATTATTAGGACTACAATAAATAGCTTTTTCAGGAGCTTTTATACGACTTAAAATAGATCTTCTGATAGTAACATTTTTCAAAGAAAAAAGAAAACTCTCATTACAACTATTATAAGATGACGCTTTACCCCATTCTAAAGGATTATAACCACCAAGAATTTCATCAGTACCTTTAATTTTTATAACTACAACAGTATTAGCTTGTTTCTCACATAATTCCCAAAAAGTTGCAGCGGAAAAACCATCTTTACTTCCACGAAGAAGTAATTTAAATTCATAAGGATTTTCATTAACGGGATAAGAAATAGGTTTTTTATCTACCCATGAAGCAATTTCGGCAGCATGTGCTTCGTTAATAACAGATGAAAAAGAATCAGTCGCTCTAGATGCTATTGTAGTTATTGAAATTTCACGGGCTGGAAGAACTATAGAAGAAATTTGTTGAGTAGGAGCCATAAATCGTTTTATTATATCTTCCCA